TGCACACAAAAGAGTAGAGTCCAGTTACTTCCAGTTATTTTCACAAGTTTATTATCACCAAAATAGAACTCATGGATGATACTACCTTGCTACCACCACTTTGTCTCTTAGCAATGGGAAATGCTGCACTTTAGATGCCTAAGAGCAAGCCCCATGCAGAACTTAAATATGGCCTTACTTGGAAATATACCCTATTCAATATACTAAAGGTATCTGCAGCTGTCAGCGACTAATTTGCTGAACTATTTATGATACAAACCTTTTTAAAGCAGGAGAAACTTCCACGACTTTCTTTTTTTCACATTTATATTCACTATGGATATGCCTCGAGTGACTTCTGAATTTGAGCTACTTCTGAAAGGTCAGCTCCAAGGAACTGCCTCAAACTGAAGCATTTGTAAAAGAGCCTTCTTCCAAAACCTGACAAAATCTGAAGTTATAATATGTACAAGCCAGAGAGCTTTCACTCAGGATTTCTAGACAAACTCAAATTCATTGCTTTATTAACAGTGGTAAGAAATCTACTGCTCAAATGAACCTAAGTATTAAAGGAACAGGTGAAAAATGAGAGCCATTATTTTTAACAACAAGAACAGAAGAATAGTAAGACTGAGTCTTTCAGAGCTGACACATTGATTAAAAATAGAATTAGTAGACAGAAATAAATCCAATCTACTGGGGAAGGAGCAATCTTTACTCACACAATTCATGTTTTGCAAAGTATTTTTGGTAAGTGAATGACAATATAGATGAGGATTTGCCAACCTACAGAATGCCAAAAAGTCTTTGACACGACCCCTTGCCCATTCAGGGAGTTACGGCAACTCTCCTGATGCCCAAGAGCCTGTTATACCACAGGTACCCATATACATGAGCCAGTACATTTCCAAGCAACAGGTCTCCACCTCAGTGAAGTTAACAAGGAGTTCACTAATAGTTAGCTAAAGTATTTGCAGCAAAGAGTACCGGAATGGTGGGAAATACCGAAGAAAGGGAAGAGAACCATAAAGGCTGTCATAAAGAACAGCACGTAAAACAAAACTAATTGAACTGAAAGGTCCTGGTAATAACCCTCTGTTTAGTCTAGCCATCAAACCAGCCTACTTTACTTACACTGGCTCGCTTTCTGTTTTGCCAGGGGACTCCATTGGCAGTTACAGGGCACAGGGCCAAACCCACAGGGCTTGACTGCTACCAGTAGAAACACGAGGAAGTTGTTTTTCTGCCTTCAAGTTGTTTCCCCTCACTACCCTTCTAAGGAAGCCACAGTTGGACTGCCAAGTAATTCCAGCATATCCATACAGACACTCTGTTGAGGTTAGTCTCTAACTGGGAAACAGGATTCCCACGGTTCTGTATTTAGTTGTGCCAGCCCAGGCAGTGCGCTGCTGAGCAGAGGTTAATGGATGAGAAACGGTGCATGAGAAGTTTTGGAGCCTCTCTGAGGTTCTGGTTTCACAGCGAGCTTCAGCTGGCCTGAGTGTGTGTCCGCCATCCCCTCCTCTATATATTCCTGCTACCTCCCCATAAGCAGGTAACCAGGGCCTTAGCTGAAACTAAGCTGATTGTGAAGCCACATGCTGGTAGGCATGCAGAGGAGATGCTGTTAGTTAATTTGATGATCGTGATGTGCCAGGGTGCAGCAAACTGGTGCAGGGATGCAGAGGCTCTTGGGAAGACAGAAACGAAGGAACATTTAGTCTCCCGAAGTATTACTGGACTCAAGCCCTGCACTTCAATAGCACCTTCTACACATCACTCTCACAACCTTGGAATCTGACATTTTGAAACTACCTGCATCCATCTGGCAGAAGATGACCCATATCATTGCTATTTCTTTGTTGCTGAAACAAATAAGCCTTGGAACATCACTCTAGTGAATTTTAAAAATCTTAAGAAAAACCAAACCAGCCCTAAAAATGATGTATCCTTTGTTCAGCTGAACCTTTTTATCCAGTTGAGCTCACTGACTTCTATACAAAAAGCACTGCGAGAATGACTCAAATAACTCTACTGTCTTCTGCTCTGAGTCCAAAAGGAACCAAACTGCCTCATAAGTGACTGTAGATAAAGACTAACTTCCTAACTGACATGGACCAAAACTGGATGATCAAAAATTAGGGTATATGAATCCACCTAGTCAGGTTGCTGGCACACTTGAAAATCCAGCTGAGACTCCTGGCTCCCAAATGATTCTCAAAACACCCATGAAAACGTCAACAAAACCCTGTATGCAGAAGACACTCACTTTCAAACCTAACCCATTTTGTGAGTGCAATTCTTGTGTTATTGTTTACCGATACAATGTAGGTCACTTGTTTGGCAGCCTCCATGTCTCACCGGCACACGATTAACGCAGAAAAGCTTTCTGGTCAGCTGTAGAAAACAGCGATGAGGATGACTAAGATACTCCAAAGTCAGAAGATTTCCAGACTTGTATGTGTGATAGCTGTATTTTGAAATATTGGATCTCCAGACGTAACGCTTGGTGACACATAGCTTAAATCAAAGGGCATGTCTACTGTGCTCAATAGAGACAGGAGTGCCTAACCCATGCTCACTACTGGGTTAAAATAGTGACTGTAATTCTTCAGAGCAAGCATGTGTCATTACTCAGAGTAAGTGTAATCTCAGCAAGCAGATAAAAATTTTCAGAATTTATTATTCTGAAAATATGACCATTTCTTTTTTATAGAAATAAGATTATGCTCCAGGAAAGGAATGTTACAGTAATATTTAAAAAGACTTATTCAGAATATACATATTCATATTTAGGTATCCATGGGATTTTACAAGGAAAGAGCTCACTAATACAATCAGACACCCCAACTCCCACAAATCTATATTCAGGCTTGAACAAAAGAACTACTGCTAAAATAGCAGCAATATTAGCACATCTTCTTGAAAACCATTTCTGAAAAACAAAGAACCTATACACTAGTTCGTGCAGAAAACAAAATGTCATCTGCCGCTTTCTTTTCATTCAACAGTGCTCATTTTCCAAAGGCGCCTGATAATAACAGACGGGACAAAAGGGGTCATTCTCATCCGCTTTGGGCAAGGGATGCCAAATAGAAATTCTAAGCCCGTCAGCTCAACACAGCCTGACTGCTAAGCATTAAGCAACCGTGACAAGTGCTGGCCGCAGGGGTATTTCACCTCACACAGTAATCTTTTTTTTTGTGGACATCACAGTAACTTACAGTGTTTTAAATGGCCCTGGCATGTCCCAAAATAAGATAATGCATAATAGATGGAATGAATCTCCTATTAGAAATAATTTGGAAGAAGAGCATTCAATTGCAGGCAAAGTTTCTCCTGCTGCAGCCCCCAGATTAGGCCAGCCTTGGACTATTGTTCCAGCAGAGCAACAGATGGAAAGAAAGCCTGAAGGAACAGATTTTCAAGAGGTCAGCACCCATCTAGGGACCTGCTTTTGTGGGGACATTTTTCTGAAGGGCTCAGGAGTACCTGTTCTTCCTAAAAGAAGCCAAGCTGTCTATATACTCTGTCCTTAAGCTTTCTGATTATATCCTTCTTCAATATAGTTTGAAAATAGACAACAAGACCACA